AAAACCAAGACATGTGATCTGACAATGAGGAAAATGTGTTAATGTGGGCTCTGTTGCAGATTATTGCTGGCCCAGGTGTGCCTGACTCTCTTTAAGAATCATGTGCAAAACAAAGGCCCAGGCAGAGGCCTTTGCTTTCTCCAGAATCAGTCATGCATGCCTGTGACAAACGCTCTTCTAAAGGTGTACACTTTCCATCCATAATTCCCCACTTTGGCCCCTTGGGGGTTTTATGGGGCATGGAGCATCTTCAGTGCTGAAACTGATATGAACACTGACAAATGCCACCTTGCTCCTGTGTTTTAGGGCACGTAGGGGCGCCTCTGCCCTGCAATCATATCAAGCTCGTTGATGTCGAGGAACTGAACTATTGGACCTGCAAAGGAGAGGGAGAGGTAAACTTAAGGATCTAATCACTCATGACTGTGGATGCTACATGTAGTGAGTAAAAACAAATGAACAAACAAACAAAAACAGTGGGAATGGAATTATTTTCCTTCCACTTTGTATATAATGTCATTTTAAATTACTGATTAATTTGACTCAACTGAATTTAGCATCTCCTCTCCTGTTTATGAGGCTGCCAACCCCCAATGCTGGGACTGAGCTGGCCTAAATCAAGAGTTGGAATTCCCAAACTTTTTTTTACTGATTAATTTGACTCAACTGAATTTAGCATCTCCTCTCCTGTTTATGAGGCTGCCAACTCCCAATGCTGGGACTGAGCTGGCCTAAATCAAGAGTTGGAATTCCCAAACTTTTTTAAACATCAATTTTTTCCCCTAACTGTGTCATGGCCTGCTGCTGTGTAATCTGTCCCAGCAGAAACATAACCGTGGACACATAGGCTAGATGGGGTGGATAGGGCTGGCCTGTACTAATTCATTCCATGGGAGTGGGTGGGAAAGCTGACTGCCTGGTAATGAAGCAGAGAACCCAAGCATCGCTGGTAGAATCAGCCAGCCATCAATATCTGTGATGAGGCCAAACGGAACGTCACAAAGCAGCATGTGGCCAAGGCCAGGAGGCTCCTGAGGAAGAAGAGATGGCAGAGGCCTGTGGTGGCCAGGACAGGGAGGAAAGGTGGGGAGGATGCTGCTTGAGAGAAAGCAGGAGACAGTTCAGACACCAGGTGGCTGGCTGTTCTTTATCCTCTATTTCCATCACCTCAATTTCCACGGTGACTTTCTTGATGGATAGTGTACCTTATTCTCCATATGCCTGGTGACAGCCTCCCATGGCTGAATTTCTTATGCTGTAGCTGAAAAAAGTGTTTGTCCCCACAGATATGTGTGAGAGGACCAAATGTGTTCAAAGGCTACTTGAAAGATCAGGACAGGACAAAAGAGGCCCTGGACTGCGAAGGCTGGCTTCACACTGGAGACATCGGGAAATGGCTGCCGGTAAGTATGTTGGGAACTGTGGAGCCCCAGACATTTTGGTGGTGGGAGGGTATGTGATATGGTTCACTGAGGCAGGAGTCTTCTCCATATCTTCCCTGACAGTCATTTAAGAACACTGGGGGATTGGGAGGCTCTCCCTGGCCTGGCCCCAGAGCTTCCTCTTTCCTCTCCTTCTGACAAGGGTGATGAGGGACCAGTGCAGCAGGGTACAGCTGGGGTTTCAGAGAACAACTCCTTATCCTTAACTGTTTCCAGAAAAAGACCTGACTGTGTGTGGGATCCGATGGTGGAGGAGGAGCAGGGGGTATACATCTCTGGGAGATCTGAGAAGGGCAGGGCCTGCAAGCCTGTGGATGCTGGCCCCCCAGTTGAGAGGTGGTGTGAGCAGAGAGAAAAGCCTGAAGCCGAGTGGAGGATGCCTGAGTTCTTTTGGTTCTGTCAGCAGTTGCTCTGTAACCTTGAGCAAAGCCTTGTCCCTCTCTTGGGCCCCACACTGATTCACACACAGAATGAGGGAGCAAGACCTCATGGCATTCTTTGGCTGTGGCCCCCAACTTTTAGCCAAAACCAGTTTGCCTCATTCTCTCATTTTTAAAATGGGAATAATAACGTAGCTTACTTCTACAGTTATTGTTGTGAGGAGCAAATGAGATTACACCTGTAAAGCATTTAGCACATGCCTGGCACACTTAGATGAATGTTTTGACCAGGGAAATGCTCTGCACTGACACCGGGACCCTTGCCTGATGCAGCCTCCCCCCGCACACACACCAGGAACCACTCATGTGTCTCTGGGAAGTTGCTAAGGTTTGGGTTGGACATTTTGAGAAGATGTTGAGTTTATCAGGCATGTGAATGATGTTAAGCCCTCCAGGGGCCCTGTGGCTAGTGAGCCAATTTGCCCCTGCTTTGATCTGTGTGCTTCACTTTGAGAGACCCTCATGCCTGTGGCAGACAAGGATGTACCCCCAGTGTGTGTCCTGGGCCAGGGACTCTGCTCAGGGAAGGCATATATCTTCAGATAGTTCCCAGTGTGATGGTAAGAGCTGGGGACACACTCATCTGGAGAGAGGCAGAGGAAGTCAGGCATCTTCTGGGTCTGAGTCTCCTGGGGAGAAGAGAGAATGGGAAGGACAACCAAAGCAGGGTAATAGCACATGCTGAGGTGTGAGGCAAGCAGTTCCAACTGAAGGCCCACGGTATCACGGGGAGAGGCCAGAGAGGTCAGGGGGCCCTCGACACCTGCAGAGAGTGGACTGTCCTGTCAGCTAGGGAAGCTTAGGCTTCATGGCCCCTTTCAAGGCCCTGCGCTTTTTATATTATTTTTCTTCAAGAAAGCCCTCAAAATTGCAAAAGCTTGAAGCCCCACAAACCCTGGATCTGCTGCTAGTGTCCTATAATTTGAATGAAACCACCCCCATGCAGGGTATTATGAGAAGCAAATAAATTAATCCACGCGAAGCACCTAGTGTTGTGCTCGAACACAAAGCCTAAGACAGCAGGCAGGCAGTCTGTGGGAATCAATTGTTTAAATTATTATTACTTAAAAATGGTTGTTGAAACATAATTAAAATTGTTATTGCAGCTATTGAGAGAAATACTTATTCTTTCTATATTTCCCATGTAAAGAAAATCATGCATTCTTGGCATAAATTCAACTTAACCATGATGTGACTTTTTAATATTATTTTTCTAAAAATTATGTTTGGATTTCCATTTATATTCATAAATGAGATTAATCTGTAACTTTCCTTTTATGTACTACTGTTATGGTTTTGGTGTCAACTTATTGAATGAGTTGGTGAGTGGTTTTTTGGTTTTATTTTTCCTGTTGTCTGGAAGAGTATGTGATGTTTGAATGATCTGTTCTTGAAATTTAGGTAGAGATCATCTATTGAAACGTTTGCACTGAAACATTTTATTACTATTCTGAAATAGTATTAGATAGAACAAGGAAAATGCATAGTCTTCTGATCCAGAAAGATGTGGGTTCAAATTCTGGTTCCCCCACCTCCTAGCTGTGTGGCTTTGGAGGAGTTAACTTACCTCTCTGATCCTCATTTTCCTCATCTGTGAAACAGTTGACAACACCTAACTCATGGAGTACCATGAGGACCAAAGAAGCTACTGTAGGGAAAGCTCCTGATATCTAGCCTGGGTTTTGAGCAAAACGGGGCCTGCTTGTTTTTCTCTTCTGGAGATATTGCTCTGGCTCTAGTGGATCAAACAGATGGAGTGATTACAGAGGGTATGCAAAAGTCCAGTCAGGAAGTGGTTTTCATGGGAGGAGGATGCAGATGTGAGAGGGATTTATGAGTGACAACAGATGAGCCTGACTGCTAGAGATCCCAGGAGAGGCAAACCGCAAGGCCATCTCCTGGTGATGGGCTTCCTCTGGGGTGTGTTGCTTCCTGCGGGACAATCGGCCTGGTTCTGACGGTAGTTATGTTCTGGGTCTGAAGTCCGTGCAGATGTCTGGCTGGGAGCTCAGACAGATTTGGGAGTGGCCAGTGTGAAGAGACAATGGTGGCTACCTCAAGGGCTTCCTCTGGGGTGTGTTGCTTCCTGCGGGACAATCGGCCTGGTTCTGACGGTAGTTATGTACTGGGTCTGAAGTCCGTGCAGATGTCTGGCTGGGAGCTCAGATAGATTTGGGAGTGGCCAGTGTGAAGAGACAATGGTGGCTACCTCAAGATGCGCTGTTGGTGGAGGTGAGGAAAGCGTAACATTCAAGGGTTGAGCCAAAGGAGAGAGGCCCACCTCATCACCTCGGAAACTCACACAAGTCGAGGGGAGTCAGGGACGTGAACAGGAGTCCTGGAGGCCAGTGGCACCAGCACTCACTGCCCAAGGGAGTGGCTGGCCTGCTGCAGAGGTCCTGGAGGGGCCAGGGCTCCTAGTGCCATCTGGCTTGTTAGGTGGGAGTCACAGTTGCTGGAGTCTCTGCCGGATCTGTGCTATATGTAGAGATATGGGGAGACTGCTCTTTGGGGGTGAGGGCAGTAGTGGGGCAAGAGGCCTGAGTGTTGTCTAAGGGAGCCAATCTGAAGATACTGGTGAGAAAAAGGACAGCCGGAGCAAGGGCCTGGGCAAGATGGGAGCCCTGGTGGAAGGTAGGTGGGCCTCTGAGGAGGAGGAGGGGGTGAAGAGGGGTGGAAGGAGGGCATGCTGGAGTGGGAGGGTTAACTGCTGAGGGGAAAGGACACGGGTGCTCAGGGCCTAGCAGAGCTTGGATGTCACCAGCCTGTGGTGCACAGTGTCTCTCTCTGGCCACACAGAAGCTCCATAAGTGCAGAGACAACAGATGGAGGAGCAGAGTAGGATGGGGTCTGCCGAATGGAGTAAGGCAGGGGTGAAGGGCTCACTTTTGGAGTGAGGGGCTCAGGCTTGGGAGTGACATCTTCTTATGAGGCTGTTTGTCCAACTCCACAGGCAGGAACTCTTAAAATTATTGATCGGAAAAAGCACATATTTAAACTTGCTCAGGGAGAATATGTTGCACCTGAGAAGATTGAGAACATCTACATCCGGAGCCAGCCTGTGGCGCAAATCTACGTCCATGGGGACAGCTTAAAGGTGAGGTCCCTGTGCTTCAGCCCTCCCACACATACTGGGCCCACTGAAAAATCCAGATTAAACATTAATCTCCAATAAGACACCAGGATTCTTTTATGCATTTTAAAACATGAGAGAAAATTCCTTTTTCATGAATGAAAATCATGTTGCTGAAACAATTTTAAAATGGTCTGGAAATCCTGGGCAATGTGTTTTGGTTCATAGAATTTGGATCATAGATTGTTTTTGATTAGCATCCTAAAGATGTGCTGATTTAAGATTGGCATGAGAATCAAAGGTACATGTCAATCTAACTTTACTGATTCTTAATGTCCTTAAACATCCTTTTATTTATTTATTTATTTTTACAAAGTTAGGGGAATATATTAGAAAAGGAAGGCAAGAATGTGTGATATATTGATGGAAATATTTTATAACATATGAACAAATGTTTCACAAGTGTATACTTATTTTTAGAAAAGGGTGGAGTCTGAGAATTTTAATGCTAAACCACAAATAATCACTTTAAAAGGTTTTGTCATGACTGTGTTTTCCTTTGGTGGGCATTGCAGGCCTTTTTGGTGGGCATTGTTGTGCCTGACCCTGAAGTCATGCCCTCCTGGGCCCAGAAGAGAGGAATTGAAGGGACATATGCAGAGCTCTGCACTAGTAAGGTCAGTATTTTGGGGCTGTTTCCTAAAATGTTGCCACGTTTTATGATTCCACATAATGAGGACAGAAAAACCGTAGGCCAGTGAAATCTGAACATGTAGGTAATTTCTAAAATTAGTTTATACACAGTAGGAATCCTAAACCAGAGACTTGTCCTTTTAGTATTATTGAAGAAACTTATATTTCTTCTTAGAAGGTGTGACAAGCTATTGGATTTTACAGCCAGGAGACATCAGAAAGCTTACCCAGCCCTGTTGTTTTGCAGCTTGGAGGAGAGTCCAGGGAGGGAGGTGACTTGCCCAAGGCCACACAGCTGGTTAACAGCAGAGCCAGATGTGAGCACAGGCTTTCTGACTCGCTGGCCATTCTCTTTCCAAGTGTGAAGTGGATTTGGGTTTACTGGACTTAGAGAGATAGTCATGGAATTGAAAAAGTAACAGAATTCTTCCTGCTTAGAGCATTAGACACTCACACCTGCCTGAAGCCATCTTCTGGCACACTTGGGGTTCTGTGGAGGAAAATCCACATGCTCTGATGCAGTGTCAGCCCCTTGAGTCACAGGGTCCACTTCTCAGCACAGCCATAGACCCTGCCTCTCCCTCTGAGCTCTGGGCTCACCTGGGTGTGGCAGGACTCACCAGGCCAACCCAAAAGCCGGTTTTAAAAAAATTGAGTGGTTCCCTAGCCTGCTCATGGTCACTCCTTTGGCCATTTCCATCACTTACTTGCCTGATGAGAGGAGATTGGCAGGCTGCCAGGGAGCCAATGTCTCTGTTGGTGGATGGGGGTGCAGGGAAGCACATATTGGCACAACTGGCAGTGGTGCTTTACTCAAAGTGTGTTGTTTCTTCTACCTACATTTTTAAGTGTGTTCTTGTTGTAATTTTATTCTTATGGTTTGATTTAGGAGCTGAAGAAAGCCATTTTGGAAGATATGGTGAGATTAGGAAAAGAGAGCGGACTCCATTCTTTTGAACAGGTAACTGTTACTTTTCCATACTCATTATATCCCTTTAGGCAGTGATGAAAATTAAATTAACTCATGACAACTGTGACCTAGATTCCTTACCCTTCATGATGCGGGCCACCAGCAGGCTGTGTACCAACAGACCCCTGAAGGCCTGTTTCACGCTGACTCTGCAACAGCATGCTTCCTGAACTGAAATAGGTCATATTTCAAGTGAGACTGTGCTCGTTGCCTTTATATCATAAACATTCATGAGGCTGAAATAGTACCCTAGCTGTCACTAGCAGATCGTGTTTACATATCTCCCTAGCTGCCTGCAATACTGAAGACCAGAGTCCCATCTTATTTTTATTTTTATGGGGACTGCCTTCTTGGCTGCAGTGGGCAAGCTTACTTGCCAGAAGGACATTGGAAAGATTAGGCTCCTTGCGCCAGTGATCTGTCAGCGCAGCATACCCTCTACAAAGAAGAGGAAACAAAGAATGTGTTGGGAGAGGACACAGCAGTCCTCTAAGACATTTTGTCTTTGCAAGGTTGGTTCTTAACTGAGTTCATAAGCATACTTGGTCCTACTTACATATACCATTTACACATCCTCTTTTGTCAAAAATTCAAAGAGAAAAATATTAATATATTGATTTTTAAATTTTCCTTGCATAGGTCCTAGAAAAAAAGAGGATCCTGGGGAAAAAAAATTCCTTGTATAAACAATCACAATAATTCATTGAACTTGTTAAGAGAACAGATATGATGTTGATGGGGGTGGAAAAGGGAAGAGGAAGGGGGAAAAAGGAATTAATTGGTAAAGGGCCACAAAAATCAACTACATTGTATAATGATAAATTAAAAAAAATAAAATAAATAAATAAAATTTCAGGGCTTTTATGAGCTAGCTGTTAAACATAGCCATTATTAAAAGTTAAATTATATAGACATAAAAAAATTTCTTTGTATTTGAACAAGGCTTATGGGGCCGGCCCGGTGGCGCACTGCTACAGTGCACCGCTTGGGAGCCCAGCGGCGCTCCCGCCGAGGGTTCAGATCCCACATACAGACCAGCCGCTCACTGGCTGAGCGAGGTGCGGGTGCAGTACTGAGGGTTGCGATCCCGTTGCCGGTCCCGGTCCGGTACGGGTGCGACACTGAGGGTTGTGATCCGTTGCCAGTCACAAAAAAAAAAAAAAAAATGAACAAGGCTTATGAGAATTTTTAAGTTTTGTATGTTCATTTGATAATAACCTAAAGATTTTAAAACCATTTTTAAATATAAAACTCTTGCAGCATTTTAATTGCAGTTAACAAACATTTCTACAGATTAAGATTTTAATCTCTTAAAAACAAGAAAATCTAAACGTAGTTTTAGGGTCTGAGAGTATTGTTTTTCTTTTGAAATAGATGTTACATTAGTCCAGTTTGAGAAACACTGCTTTACCCTCATACATCAGTATGTTTTAGGTCAATTGAGGCCTTGATATATAAATCATTATTTTAAAAAATTATAAAATCTGAGGGCCCGCCCGGTGGCGCACTGCTACAGTGCGCCGCTTGGGAGCGTGGCGGCGCTCCCGCCGAGGGTTCGGATCCCACATACAGACCGGTTCCCGCTCACTGGCTGAGCGAGGTGCGGGTGCAGCACCGAGGGTTGCGATCCCGTTGCCGGTCCCGGTCCGGTACGGGCGCGACACTGAGGGTTGCGATCGGTTGCCGGACACGAAAAAAGACAAAAAAAAAAAAATTATAAAATCTGAGGCATTCAGGAAAGTTACATTTATCTTTCTGAATGAAGACCCTGGTGGGGTCTTCATTAATAATTATTTAATTTTCCAAATTTGCTAGAATTGACTTCATTGCCCTTCCTTAATGGAGAGTTGTGTGACTGGATCATATATGATCATGTAGGGCAGGGGCCACAAGTAAATTGTCACAGACCTGGTTGGTCTGGGCCTGCATGGTTATTTGAAGGTCTGGCCTTGAGCAGACTGGGGACATCCTGGAGGCTTCACAAGGCCTACACGCCCCCTGCTGGTGTTGTGATGTGTGAGTTGCCCCAGGGCACACAGAGAATTTTGATATCCAGATTCCTCTTCACGGGGAAAAAAAATACCAACTCTTCAGATTATGCTTAAGAGGGACCTTAGGTTAAGTTTCCAGTGTGAACTGTTGCTCTGGTTAAAGCTTTTACTAAGAGGAGATGTGTTCTTGACTTTCCACATGCTTTAAGTAGAGTTTCTGCTGTAATAATCTGCCATCACCATGGTAACCTCAAATACAGGGAAGTCACGTGGCATCCCAGAGGCCTTTAGTTTTATTGCCAAGGCTGTCACCTTCTGATTTTCTCTGTTCTCATTCTCCTCTTTGTTGGTCTGTGGCATCCTCCCCTCCTCAGCCAGTGCATGCTCTCAGCTGACCACAGGAAAGCAAAAACCAGGCCTCGTGCCTGAGTAGGGTGTGCTCCCAGTAGTGCACCAAAGCTCAACTTAAATTATTTCAGTTATCCATAATACACTGTCAAAAATGAATAGTCAGTTAAAGCTTAACTCTTATTAACACACACACACAAATATTCAAGTTCATAGTTTAAGTCATTCAACAAAAGCTTTAGGAGTTCAGACTTACTGGGATGGGTTGATCTGAATTAAACTTTGAATTAGAAAAAAAAATGAAGTCATTTAATTTCCAGAAAAAGACGATTCCTAGAACTAGGCCAACCAATATTAATTTATGGAGATCTTTGGAAGATATATTTTAATGAGTAAATAAGCATTTAAAATAATTTTATCGGTAATTAAAATATGTAGGTGACTGAGAAGTACTCAAGCATATTTAACTATGATTTAACCATTTTCTTATCATTTATATGCCCTATTAATTTGCGTAGGCAATATACGTGAACTTTGACACTTGATAGATGTTTCAAATTCTGACTAGTGAAGCCCTCATTAAAAGTCTACAAGCAATATTGTGTTAAAGTGTTTAACTGAGTAATACCATTGAAAAACATAAAATACTATGTTTCATCAAAATTATGAAAAGTTCATACTTTTATGAGTTGGCATAAATTGACACTTTTGAGGTATTTTGTTCCAATGCAATAAAGTGTTACAGTGTTTCTAAATTTTAAAAAACCTTACAGAATCTTTTTTCAATGACAAGAATGTAGTGTGAGGAAAGGAAACTGACATGAAGCAGGTCCTTCTTTCCTCAACAAAAGCTTTGCTTATTAAAAATTGGAAAACCAGTTTTATGTGGTGTGTTTGGCATACAGGGAGAATAAGTATTCTCATATCTTTTTCTTATAAGTTCAAAATTGGAGAGTTTGGTTTTATGAGAAAATTTATAACTACAGAAAATGAAAATGTGTATTGATTCACTTCTGGAAAATACTAAAGGTTTGGGGCCCACAGTTAAGGTCAGTGTTAGTTAAACAACTGGTTTGACTCATTTTTTTCCACTTAGTGATGAGATGAGCAGGTCAGATAGGTATTTTTTTTTTTTCCTTTTTGTCTTTTTTCGTGACCGGCAACAGATCGCAACCCTCAGTGTCGCACCCGTACCGGACCGGGACCGGCAACGGGATCGCAACCCTCGGTGTTGCGCCCACACCTTGCTCAGCCAGTGAGCGGCCGGTCTGTATGTGGGATCTGAACCCTCGGCGGGAGCGCCGCTGCGCTCCCAAGCGGCGCACTGTAGCAGTGCGCCACCGGGCTGGCCCCAGATAGGTATTTTTATGGGCAAATCTAAATTGACCCAGGGCTGTAGGTCAGACTAGAGCAAGGACAGACAGCCTGGCAGCAGTGCTGTGCTCACCTGCTCACTAAAGGACTGAACGGTGAGCCAAGAGTAGGCAGCCATATTGCTTGGCCTTCTGCAAAGCTGTATTTAATGATATAGCCTCTTTTCAGGGAGAACTATTTTGTAGACAGCCACATGGAACTGAAGATGTTCCACTCAGCCTTTTAGGTTTGCTACAGGTTGCTGGTTTGACAGGTATTCAAAATCTGTTCGACATACTGATTTCCTTTGATGCATTTCTTTCTTCCTAAGATCATAATGTTTTCTTTTCCATTCTACTTACCATCTAAATAGCATTGCGTAGCTCTCCCTATGGAATTCATATTCCCTGTACTGTATTTTTTGTAGCTTCTGCTTGTTGCTACCAGATTTTCAAATGTGTTCACCCCAAGTCCCTGTACTGAACATAGACTCCTGCCCCAACTACAGAATGTTTTCCACGTGCTGTTAGGAACACAGAAAAGCTGAAACTAGGCTGCAAGTACACTGTAGAAATTATATCTTGGTATTCACATCTCCTTTTTAAAATTATGTTATTAATTTCTTTAACACAAGAAGATGGGTAAATGGTTTGCCTTACCAAAGTCTTTTATGTGACACTGTTTCTATCATAAGAGAAGTTCCTTTAAAAAAGTTAAGGATATTAGCACTGTCAATTTTTCGGTTTTTCATTTTGACAGTAAATGAGTTACTACACCAGTAAATCACTGACTCTATGATTAAATTTGATTTATATTGTGTTAATATTTTCTTCAAGCTAATTAATTTTGTCATCAAACAGTGATTTCCAAGCTTGTTTAAGTAGAACTTAGATGACATCATCTATGAAAGTTGAGCATGTACAAAACATAACATCAGTGTTGCTCCGATTGGTTTGGGGCTTGAGCCAGAGCCCCTCCAACCATCCCCCCTGCCCGCCACAACCACCTCACCTCATCCCTCCTCCACTCCACCTCCATGGACCTCAGCCTCTCTCCCACCTCAACCCACCGACCTCATCTCCACCCCTCCCCTATCTCTCTATACCCCGCTTCCACATCACCCCTAGCAGTAGCCTCTGCAGATCCCCTAGTTCTCAGTGCACTATGGTTTGAAAGCTTCTCCCTTGGGACCTGTTTCCAATGAATTTGGATCTCCTAGGGTGGTTTATTTTTGATAATGACAAATTAGGAAAAAAATATGTTCCATAGGGTACAAAGGACAGCAGCTCTAGTCCTTACCAAATCCTTGCTTCTGTGAATATCAAGCACACTGAGAGAGTTTTTAAATGAAACACTTTTTGAAAGAACCTTAACTAATTTTGAAAAACTTGATGATACCACTCTTTAGCCAAGAGCCTCAGATTTCTAGCTATTTAAATTGAGTATTGGGCCGGCCCAGTGGCGCACTGGATAAGTGCGCCGCTTGGGAAGCGCGGCAGCGCTCCCGCCCGAGGGTTCGGATCCCACATACAGACCGGTTCCCCCTCACTGGCTGAGCGAGGCACGGGAGCAACACCGAGGGTTGCAGTCCTGTTGCCGGTCCCCGGTCCGGTACGGGGGCAACACTGAGGGTTGCGATCCGTTGCCGGACACGGAAAAAGACAAAAGACAAAAGACAAAAAAAAAAAAAAAAATTGAGTATCCAAGTAGAAATCTTTTCAATATGTGAAGTGAAGTTGAGGCAGCTACCTATAATGCTAGCTGCAGTTTTAGCTTAAAGTGCCCCACATCCCTAATATACATAAATCCCTTAAAATGCTATCCTCGTTATGGAAATAAGCTACTCTAAGGCAAAAGCGAACCCTTTATCTGGACAATTTTTTTAAGAGACAAAGATGAATCTGATTTATTAATGCTATGCTCATTTGAAAGCTTTCACATTTTAAAACAACAAATATGTGTTAAAAATACCAGGATTTGTTAGAATTTTTCTTAAAGGCTTTTTAAAAATTTGTAAGTATAGCCATTTTAGAGGCCTTTGTATATCAAATTTTTGACCTGAAAAATTGGTGAATGTAATGAGTTTTCTGACCAAAGAATTCTTTGTCATCTCAAAAAACCACCTGCCAAAATACTAAACTGTTAGTATCAGAGATTCTGAAAACAATCATTGAATGTTGAATTTTTACATCTGCTTACATACACTGATTTTTAAAATAAGTTATTTCTGGATTGTGTCCACTGATTTTATGAACAGTTCTCCTATGATAGCAGCTTCTGACCATAGTGACCTCTCACTTTTCTTCTGGCTTTTGTGACCCACACTCTGGTTACTTTCTACTTTTCAAGTCGCTCCTTCTCTGTCTCAAATCCAGGCTGCAGCTCTTTCCTCCAGACCAATACATCCAATGTAGAAAGACCACTTGGCTGTCTCAGGAGCATTTCAAACTTAATGCGAATGCTTGATCTTCCCATCTCCAAAAAATCTTTCTGCTGCTCCTCTAGTTTTTGACATCTTAGTAGCTTCCCAAGCAGAAACCTAGAGCCATTCTTATCTCTCTTTCTTTACCACTTATCCACAGCAATTGCTACATCTTGTTCTTTCTACCCCTAGAGTCTATTTCCATCTCTACAGCTAACTTCATAGCCCAAATCACCATCATTCTTGCCTATTAGCTGATCTTCCAGCTTCCACTCTTGCCCCACTTCAGTCCATTCTTAACAGAGTAATCTTGCCAAAGAGCCTTTCTGGTTCTATATCTTACTGTTTAAAAATTGTTTAAAGAATCATGTCCAAACTCTCTAGCTAGGTATATTGATCCTTTATAGTTTGGCCACAGTCTGTCTCTCCAACGCCATCTCTTTCTTCTTCATTTGTGCCGTATACTTCAGCCCACACTTGTAATGTCCCAGATATGCTTTGGCACATGTTTCCTCTGCATAGAGCACCCTCCTCTCCTCAGGCCGTATAGCAATCACTGTCCCTCCCTCTTGCTATCTTTATCTGGCTAAAGTCTACCTATCCTTCAAAGTTCGACTCCAACATCCCTTTTCAATGAGTCCTGCCTAAGCTTGGGTTAGGTGGTATATCAGAAATGCATTCAGCTCTAACAGAAAAACCTGACTCACAGTGTCTTATACACATTGGTTGGTTCCCCACTCCCTCACCCCCTCACATAAGAAGTTGGCTTATCACCTCATGGTTACAAGGTAGCTGCTACGGCTTTGGACATTGCCCACATTCAAGGGAGTAGGAAGGGAGAGTGGGTGGAGATAGCCATGTCTGAACCTTTTATTAGGAAAGCAAAAACTTTCCCTTCTCTTTAGCCAAAAATGGGTCTCATGGCTATCCCCTAGCTGCAAGGAAGGCTGGGAAATCAGGGAGCAGGACTGTCATGATTGACACAGACTCTTTTGGCCCCAAACCAAGTCAGGTTTCTATTAGCATGGAAGAAGTGGGGAGTGGGTACTAGGGAAGCAACTGACTCCTCTGCCTACCACAGGTGGCCCTCTCTGTGCTTGTCCCCATAATTATAGTATCATAATGGAGCATCTTGTCATTAGATTGTAAGCCCCATGTGATTAGGGACTGTATCTTCTTCTTCTTTGCATCCCTGATGCCCAGCACTATGACACACAGTAGTTGCTCAATAAATATCAATTACACAAAACAAGTGAAAGTATATGTGTATTTAACACATATATTTTGAATTGGTTTTTTAAAGTCTGTATTACAGCAATTCATAACCCTGTTCACTACTTGATGGTATGGGTGTAATATATCAACAAAATCATTAAATTTGGTCCCTGTTGTCAATCAGGATACAATTTCTTAGAGAAAGTGTCACTCCAGGATTCAGCCCAAGCCCAGATCATATAATTCTTAAAGAATTGACTGTGACCCTTTCTGCTGAAGTCCCATGTGGGAGGAGCCTGTCCGGGCCCTCTTAGATCAGTCCCTCTGTCCTCTCTGGGTCCCATTCAGCCCTGCAAAGAGACTGTATGAGGAGGCCTAGGATTTGCCTCATCGGAAATAAGCAATGTGAATACTAGTCTGATCCCTCCATTCCCCCCTCTGATAGATTTGATAAAATTCCATCGCAGAACATTTTTTTTTTAACTTGGACCGATCATGTCCTCCCCAGAATGTATATTCCTCCTATAAGTGGTACTATCTCTATGCAGCCATCCAAACCAGAAACCTAGTGGTCCTCAAGGCTGCCTCCTTCTTCACTACATCTTGCCAATTTATGTCTGAATCATTCTTAGAACTGCTTACTTGTCTCTGTTTCTGTCTCTGCTACTAAGTGTAGGCCCTGATCTTCTCTCCCGTAGACTGGCCAAATCCTTCTGGTTAGTTTCCCTGCTTCCAATCTTAACTTGCTCAAAAAACATCTTCCTATTTTTCTTGGAGCGATCTTTCTAAAATGTGTACTCAGCCATGCCATTGCCCCGTTGAGTACCTTCAGTACCTTTGTTCATTTACCTTCAGAATAAAGTTTGAACTCCTTCATAAACTGCCCCATCCACCACTTCAACTTTATCCCTCACATCCTTTACCTCCTATTTTATGTAACAACAACAAGAAACCACTTAGATTTCCCTTATCATCCTTCATTTCTCATGCCCATAACTTTGTTCTTGGGGTTGCCTCTGCCTATAACGCCCATCTCCACCTACATATTCCCCTTTGCTGCTTAACTATTACTCATTCTTTAACATTCACCTGATTTGGGAAGTCTTCCCTGACTGCTCCTTCCTCTTCCCTATCATAACATCATCCTGTGAATACCATACTAACAATTTGGTGTCTCTCTCTCCTGGATGCGAATGTGCACTCCCTGAGGGCAGGGGAATTCATGATTCCTCTTTGTATCTTCAGTGGATGGCACAGAGTAAGCAACCAATTCCTTTCTGTTGACTAGCTAAACGACTGAGTAGGAAGGAAAGAAGGTGGCTTTTAGACATGTCAAATGGGCTGAAATGTTATTAACATAATTTTGACTCAGCACAGTGTTTGTATATCAATATCTCTCTTCCCGTATGCCTGTTTACTTTTGCCATGTATGCTGTAAATGCTGTGTTCTATTCCTGTTAAAGATGTATTCTGCATTTGGTTTTTAGGTTAAAGCCATTCACATCCATTCTGAAATGTTCTCAGTTCAAAATGGCTTGCTGACACCAACACTAAAGGCTAAGAGACCTGAGCTGAGAGAGTACTTCAAAAAACAAATAGAAGAGCTTTACTCAATCTCCATGTGAAGTTCAAGGAAAGTTCTTCTCAGTATGATGGACTGTGTAGCAATATTATAATTATTCTTGAAAGTAAAGAATCAAAATGACACAGCTGAAAATGAATAAGCACCTGATTTTATGACTGAGGCTTTTCCTGTCCCAAGAGATCTTTAACAATATTTTCTCTATCATCACCAAGTACACTTTATTTTTATTAAAATGTAGTGAGCTGCTAAAAATATCACAAATGGCAATGTAAAAGATCAAGACATTTTCTCAAGAACTGTGTACCACTAAAAGTAATATATGCTCAATGTTCACAGAACTATTAAACATAAGGAAAAGCATAACTGATATATTGTACTTAATTATTTGTGGAATAGTAACCAGATGCAGCGAATATCTAGGCAATGTGGACTACCTCATTCAATAATCAATTGTCAAAATCACAATTAAATCAGACTTAAAAAACTAAAACTAGGTGTACAGAATCATGCTAAAACAAAACATAACACATTCTACATAACTTCACATTCTTTAAACATGACAATCCTTATTGATGTGAAAAAGGTTTTCTTTCTGATTTTTACTTTTTTTCATGAAAAATGCAAATTCAGATATTCTTAAATGCTATATTTATATAACTCACAAAGATCTTTCAATACATTTCTCATTTATTAAGATCATTAAACTATTCAGGAACTACCTAGAAAAAGTGTAATGTAAAATTATTCAAGGATATGCATATATTCATGGACTTGCCATAAGGAATTACAAAAGATGTCATTGACTCTAAAATGAATGGACCCTGGTGGGAAGACTTGGAAGAAGAAACTCAGAGTTATTTCTCAGGGTGGGCAGCAATTAATGTACCTATGTTCCTCGCTGAGGTCGTCCAGTCTTTCATTCTCACTATGTCCATGCCAGGCCTGAGAATCTCAATATGGCAGTACTTCTGAACAACTTCACTTTCTTTCAGTAAGACTATCCAGGCAGGATGGGGGAAGAAGGATGTTATTTCCAAAGAAAATAATTTTTCAACAACATAATTTTGAAGACCCTCTTCAAAATGTCCCTAGAAAACTTTATAAGTCAATCATAGAGAAATATCTCCTAATGGCATGATTTCATTCCTAAAATCTTTAAATGCTCCTAAGTTTAACCATGAAAACCTCCTTTCTTGCATTATGTATTTAGACACGCTCTGTACATGGGTGCCAACAATTTCATATAATTAAAGCCCAGTTACTATGGACAGCAATCAAGTTCCAAGCTATGGACTGTGCATCTGGAGAAAGCATGGTCCCTAGGAAAGTTTTTCTTCTGTAGAGACAGGACTCTGAAAGCATATGAACAATTCATATGAAATTCATGTGTTAATTCAAAATATATGTGCTCATTGTTCACAGTCCAGAAGCTCCTTTCTCCTGAAAGAAGGTCCAAACTGTTTGTAAATAAATACTGTCAGTTAAAAACTGCATAATCACATGGGCCTTCTGTGATCACATGGGCATCAATGATTACACACTTATATTTCAGTCTTGTCAAAAGTGGATCATAGCTTCATTTGATATACTTATCTAGTCTGTTACATATTCCTTGGGCATATTCTCTCTGAAGACCCACTGCTGCACTTATAAATTTGACATTTGATAAATGAGCTAGTTCTATACACATTAATTTTTAAAGGCATTTAATACTTAAAATGTCCAAGGCCATGTCTGTATAGCATTAGTTTTTTTTTTATGTTTAATATGTATTTGAGGGCCGGCCCGGTGGCGCACTGCACTAGTGCGCCGCTTGGGAAGTGCGGCAGTGCTCCCGCCAAGGGTTCGGATCCCACATACAGACCGGTTCCCGCTCACTGGCTGAGCGAGGCGCGGGGGCAACACCGAGGGTTGTGATCCCGTTGCCGGTCCCGGTCCGGTACGGGGGCGACACTGAGGGTTGTGATCCATTGCCGGACACGGAAAAAGACAAAAAAAAAATATATATGTATTTGACTAATTAAAAATAAAAATTGTTATCCGAATTGGACATTCATACTATTTCAAGGGCAGGTAGCTTCACATTTAAAAGAAAAAGTTGTTTCCCATTGTCCTTCTAGTTGACTAAAATTTCACATTTGGTTTTGATTCCAAAAGAAATTTGAAAAATATAAACAAATAACTTAAAACGTATTTTTATTTTATTTATATCTCATAGTAGTTGAATATGATTGATTATGGACAACATAAGATTTCTTCTTTTTTTTCACTTAAAAGGTTTTATGTTTCTACTAACTTCCCAATCTGTGTGGTAATCATCACACTTGGGCCAATAAATGGCTTAGTGCACATGTGCAGAGAAAAGTAAACAGTGGACCCTAAATATATTGCATGTACACTTATCTATTCCTCTGTTAAACTCCACTTAATTTTTGTAATAAAGGAGAAATTTTAAAATATGTATTAAAGTAAAAATCCTTCTTGCTTCAGATTTCCCAACTTTATTTTGAAGGGAAAAAAGTTTGTGTTTCTCTTCAACCAATATAGAAAAAGGCTATGTACTTAAAGATGGTCACATTCATACTGGGCATTGGATCTTACTGAGATATAACAGAGACTGTTCCTTAAGCATAAATATGTTCTTAAAAGTTTGGCCTTTTTACCTGTTTCTTCATTCAAATGTAATTCTCATATTTTATAAACTAAACCTGTTGTGTATATTTTAAAATACACTAAATCTTTTTTCCTTTTTTCATAAAAGATGTCTTTATGTAGTATCGAGACTTTCCCTCCAGATGGGAGAGGAGACTCTGACCAGGTGTAGTATGTAGGCCTAGCTTCATGCATTAGGAACTCCCAAACTCAGAATTCCAGAGATTAAACATACTGTGTCTCCCTCACATAAGTCACTCTTTCATTTTACATTTAGGTAAAACTGCAAGCATGAGAAATAATAGAACTTTCCATTAGGATTTTTACAATCAGGTAGTGTTTTAGCAACTTTAAATCAGCACTTAATTTGATTGTATTGCCCATCAAAGAACCAATAATCTTTTATTTTTCTGCAGTAAAGAAAATGAATTATTCTTTATTTTCCAAGTGTATAAAGCACAAATGTGATATAGTTATTTAAAATTCAAAATACTATAAAATGAATGTAAAGAATGGAAAAATGTATTTTTGCATGAAAACAGACTATTTACAAACTTGCTCAATATCTCAGGAAAAAAAAGAATGAATAATCATGTGTAAAATTGGTGAACTGTAAGTTGACTGTATTTTCTTGCCAATTGTTATTTTAAGGAAGAATTTATATGAAGAAAAAGGATCCTAGTAGTCTGAATTTTCTCTCAAGTATGCTACATAGTCTTTTCTATGGATCTACAATTAACTGCAGTAAGAATGGGATTAGCATTCAAGTAAGGACAAAAACCCAAATGAGAAACTCTTCAGTTAGAACACATTTAACGGTTGTAAGATAAAGGCAATAGATACTTAGAATACAAGGATTTCTAAACCTGTTCCCAAACAGAAAGGGGGTGGACAGTGGCTTTCAAACATTCATTTTACTGATTATTTTAAATTTCCTTTTTAAGTCATCGCAAAGATTGCATGGGGGAAAAATGGATATTTTTTGAAGAATTGCTTACTGTACTTTCAATTTTTAAAAATTGAGGGGATTAAAATATTACTTTTAAATATGCATAAAAGTATCTTAACTGTAATTATATTTTCAGTTGCTTTGTTATAATAGCATGCATATCAAACAAAATGCATTTATGACAACTTTTGTAAAAAATAAAGATTTTTCATTTCTCAAAGTTGCTTATAATTACTATTTTATATATTTATATGACATAATCCCCTGATGTTACTATATCGGTAATCATCAATCATAGTTAGTTCTTGTGATAAACATAGTATCAAGCTACATTACCAATCAGCATACTATATATCCTTTACTCTACATCCTCTGTAAGATTCCCCAAGCTCCAAAAACTTATGGTACACCCAGAGAGGCTCTCCTTTGCCCAGAGAACTCTTGCTATTGGAATTCTTGCTATCAAGTGTGTCCTGGATTTAAATCATTTGTACACTTTCAGAATAACAAATAACTGTATTCAAATTTTCCATCATGATAGTCTTTAAAACAATATTTCTGTAATGTCTTTTACTCATTTAAAGATTAATGGGTACAATTTCTTAAAATGGCACATTCCGCTGTGTTTAAGTTATATAGATTCTGCCTTCTCCATGTATTTGTTATCCTCCACCCCTCTCTATTCTCACAGCTATTAGTGTAGTTTGGGTCACCCTCACCCCTTGTTTGTCAAGTTACAGTGCTTTCTTAACTAGTCACGTTTCCACCGCAGCTTCCCCAAATTTCACCAGCCACATTTCAGCCAGTGCAATCTTTCTAAATTGAAAATCTGGTCATGCCACTTTCCTGCTTAATATTCCTTTGATGAATTCCCATACTTTTCAGTATAAAGTTCAGACTCTCTGGTTGGGCACACAAGGACGAATATCTCTTCTCCTGCCCCTCCCCCATGGAGCCTTGGCTCCAATCATACCACTTACTTTTTGTAGTGCCCTAAAAGCATTTTGCTTTCCTGTGCCTTTGCACATACAGTTCCCTTTTCCTAGGATGCTCTTACCTTTTCCTTATCTAACTCTTACCATTCATTTCTGAAAACTCAGCCTCAAGCGTACTTTTCTCTGAGAAGCTTCCCACATTGTTGACTGATTGATGGTCCTTCTACTCCACCCCACTCAGACTGTGAGTTGCAGAAGGTCTGGCCCATAGCAGATGAGCAATGTCTATTGAAGGAAAATCCCCTTGGCCCTTTTGATCATATGTTGCATAACATTAAGACTACAATACCCAAAGTTACATTTCATCTGTCATTGTGATTTATTCCATTCTTGTCAACTTGTCAACTAAGTAAAAATAGACTGGTTTCGAGTTGGACTCCTAAAGCTCATGGATAGCACCACAAACTAAGCTGCTCAATGGGTTACTCTATAAGAAAATATTAGAAAGATTTTCTTTTGGCTCCTGGCGATCCCAAACCCACCAACTGGCTGTTTTCCAAAAAGCTTTCCTCAGAAATCTCTTTGAAATTTGGAATTCGTTTTCTCATGGAAGTTAGTATCTCCATGACTGTCCCAAACCTACTCAAACCTACCATGTGTTGAACTGGAACACTGACAGTAGAATTCTGGATCTAGATGTGAGAGCGGTACAATGGGGACATGGAATAAGTTCAATTTAATACTCACGACTAAATACTTGTACAGGCATTTGTGTATTGGGGGATGGAGTAGGGGGAGATAGAAAGATAATCAAGTTTGAGATGTCTCTTCCCTACCTCATCCTTTTGTAGGGGACACATTTCCTTCCCCTTTTATAGTCTGTTAGTGAAATTTTAAACAGACCAAGCCTTTCTCTAGTCCCTACCCCTCACCTTGCTACCAAGGGCTTCAAGCTCCTCTCCTTGTTCTACCTATCTCTTTTCCAGCCATGTGTTAAGAGGAATGGGAGCATGACATGCACACTAGCCAAATGCCAGGACAGCCATGCCACCTATGTCAACCGTCTGCCTTAATGAGCTTCCCAAGGCTGTGGTTTCCTCAGCTGCAAAATGAGAGGGAAACTAGATTATCTCTAAGGATCCTTTTGTCTAAAAAAATCACGGCAAAGTTTATTTCAAGTTTTGAAACCCTATGAATTCACTCCCATAAATCTTTACTTAATTGCACTTCAGTGAATGTTATTCAGTATAGTGAGACAGAGTTCTACAGAATAGGACCACCAAAGGTCAGATCAGCTTTTGGTTTAACCTGTTATCTTTTTCCAGTTTCTCTCATTTCTGGGCCTAGGGCATTTCCAAGTTATTTCACAACATACTCCAATGGGAAAGAAGGGAGCCTCAAGACCTGGCTTGTAAACTTTTATGGTTGTGACTAAAAAAAGGATGTTGAAATATGATAATCACTTTATACTGCAGCAAACCTGTGAGATCCTTGACTGAAGGACCATTTCTGATTCACCTCTGTATCCTCAGGAACTACCACAGTGCTTAACACAGAGTAAGGTACTCAGTAAATATTGATTCAGTGACTCTAAGCACCCTAACCAGGTAAGAATGTCTACCCTCTGTTATTTACAAAGTAAGGTTTTGATGATTAATTATATATTAAATTGATTGTCATGTTTCTATCAGATTTTAAGTAAAAAATTCAGAGTGAGTTTATTATGAGTATATTGTGTATGTGTGCTTATATGCACACACACAATATTGGGGTATCATAGAAAAATCTTTCAGCTTTTCATAATTTCATCTCTACAAGCTGCATTTTTTTAATGTTGTGAAATGTTGCCATTTTTTAGAATAAGAAGATGGTTATTGTTATATCCATAATATGTTAATCAGATGTAGCCAGATGGTTCAACCTGGGTATACAGAAAGTGAGGTCATTCCTATGTCTCTGGTTGGCAGAGCAGAAGAGTCAGCCCCGGGGCACTAGGATGGAGCCCCTGTAGAATCCTCCACCTTGACCACAAGGATACCTAGATGTTCAGGAGGTGGCTCCTGCCACAGGCTAAGGGACTCTGCTTGTCCTTGAGAACAAGCCTCTTAGAGCCCAGGATCTTTGAAGGCTTGGTTAAATTCTCAGGTCCCATAGCCTCTCAGTAAATTGGCAGCCCCAGAGGCTGAGGTTGATTTCTCAGGTAGACACTCCTTGTCGCCTAATGTGCATTTGTCCCTCTTGACCCTCCTCATTGAGTGAGGCTGACACGTCGCTACACTCCCTGTGCTCAGAGACCTGAAACTCAATTACTAAGGCCTTACGCAGTGCTGATAAGGAGAGCAATGGGAGTCATCGGTAGCAGTGTTGGGCCTATCTGACTAATGAGGAAATGAAAAGTAAAGGAGTGACCTCCTGGACTGGGAAAAGGCTTTTTCCAGTCGGCTTCGGTCAGCAGGTGGTGAGACAGCCCGCACCAGCGGCCGGCAGTCTCGCGCCCCAGCGCGGCGCCTGCAGGAGGGCGGGGCCGCTCCGCGTTCCTCCGTCTTCCCAGAAGCCGCCGCGCGCGGCCTGGCTCGCATAAAAGGGCCGGGAGCAGGCCCCGCCCCCGCAGTCCGACAGCATTTGGCTTCTCTCGCCTTGTTCGTGTTCAGGCTGCTCCGCAGGCCGCGCCTCTACGCTCACTCCCTCCGACTGTAGTTCCGTTCCTCAGGAAGGCTACTATACAGGCCTTCGAGGGCCCAGATGCTCCCAAGGCCTAGGGGTGTGGTAATGTGGTCGCCACGGGGCTATACCCGCAGGAAGCGGGCAGGCCAGAGGCTCAACCTAACCCCGGCGCCGGACCTAGTCCCCCCCACGAAGGGGAAGGCCCCGCCGGGTTCTGGTCCAAGGCTAGCACACTGTAAGCCCACCGAGCTGCCCTGAGGGGCGGGACCCGGGGAGGGCAGGCAGGGGCAGCTGGGCTTCGGGCCCAGGGACCCCAGAGGTTGCTGAGCAGGTTATCAGGGCTGTTGCCCTGAAACGTGCTGTTCTCTCTCAGGCCTAAAGGGAAAAGGCAAAGCACACGGTTTGCCGAAGATCGCAGAGAAAGTGGAGCGGAGCAGGCGGGGAGCTAGCGGTTCTGGCCCGCCTAGGTGCGTAGCCGCAAGTAACAGCCCCATGACATCTGGCTTCCTTAGAAAACTTCAATCCTAATATTCTGTTAGTGGCCTCTTATTCTAAAAGTCAATGAAGAAAATAAGTAGAATACTCTGATTTCACTCTTCTTAGAACATAGACCCAGAAATTTGACTTCATAAAGATTTGTTTAAGAAAAAAAAGGAAAGGAAAGCTTGCCAAGTTACCTAAAAGCAAGTGAGATAAAACCTCCAGGAAAACGTTCGTAGCGTTATTTGGGTGTTGGTGCAACTCATTCGTTCTTGTCCTTACTTCTTCCTAAAGATGTATTTAAAGACATCTATCTGTTCAGATTATGAGCAGTATGAACAGAGACGTGGAGGGTCAAGTACGAATGGTACAAACTGATTGTGTTTGTTTGTTAGCACTCAGTTAAGAGTTACAGGAGAGAAAAGCCTGCAAGAAAATAGCACTGAAGAGACCGAGGATGGGAAGATTGCTCCACTGAGTGTATGTATGATTCTTCTGTAGTCCTTGGATACATTTAGTGTACAGATCAGCAGTACCTGATATACTTCCGAATGAAAGACTAAAATGATCTTTGTTCAACAGAAACTACATTGTTTTCTTGTATTTTTATAAACACCGATGTGCCTTTGGACAAGGCCTTGAATTCCTGGTTCAGGTAGATTCATAGCCTTTTCCCTCCTCCCTTTCCCTTGACGAGTATCGGAGAAACGTACTTCCCGGCTAATTTTCTGTGTGACAGATACAAAATGTTACTCAATAATTCCCTTACATTGGTAGCACTTTAACATTTGAAAGCCATTTTCACATTTTCTATTTGACTTTCCATTAGCAACTAGAAACATGATTCAGTACTAAGGCTTCAATACATTACAGAGCATTCTAACGTTCATTCATTAGGATATTATATAACTTCTTGATGTACTATATTTAATATAGATTCTGTATAATATTTTAAAGCTGTACAGCAGTAATTTAGGAGAAATTTAGATTTTAAAAGTTGCTTGATACTCATCTGACATTAAACTTGTATTAAATCTATATTAAACTTGGTAGTCAAGTTCCAGATTCTTAGCCTACATATTCCTCTATAACATGTTTTTGGCAAAGGACAGTTCCAACACAAGGGATTTTTAAAAAGGCTTTTACCCCCGGATTTTAACAGGATAAAGTGTTCTTTGTAGATGACTTCTACTATGCAAAAAATTTTTTTAAATTTCAAATTTTTGTATATTTTTTCTTTTCCTTTTTTCTGTGCTTTTTAAAAATTTTCAAATTGCTATATTACTGAATATTCTCCTAAAATTAAAGTTTTAAAAAATATGATTTTTAGTATCTTCATAGTGTTTTATCTTGTAGATAGATACACTGTAATTTGTGTAACTATTTTCCTGTGGTTGAGAGATTGAGATTGTTTTCGTGGTTTTGCTGTTGTAGATATTGGTAGACATCCTGCTATAGACATTTTGTGTGTATTTGTGTATACATCAGTTTGTTACCCTAAGGTAAATACTTTGCTGTAGTTCAAGTGTTGTATCACATTTAAATTTTTTGATTCATGTGGGAAAATTGGCACTATCTTACCTGATACTTAATTTATGAAAGAAGAAAAGTAGCATGTTGTTTTACTTTCCATTTTTTTGAATGCTAGTGAAGTTGATACTTTTTTTCTCAAGCTATTGGCCATTTGTATTTCCTTTTATGTGTGAAATGTCTATTCCTTATATATTAAAGATAGTTATACTTTTACACACATGTATATAACAAATATTTATAACAAATATTTCTGTATTCATTTGCCTTTGATTTTTTCTAGTATTTTAAACTTATCTATTAATCTTTTCTTTTGATTTATTTATTTGCCTTTACTTTTAGAGAAAAAAGCCCTTCCTCACTAGGGGATCAGAAAAATGTTCACTTTTATCTTCTATTTGCTGATTTATCCCACAATACTTAGTTGACTAGTAAATTGTCAATTCGCTAGATATGTCCATAATATTTTAATACTTATTTTTGAATTTAATATTAAATGTCAGATTACATCTCTGATTAATAAGCTGAAAGAATCTATTATATGTGTGAAACTGATATACAAAGTTGACATTAGTTTTTCATTTTCAAAATAACCGAAAATCAATTTGATGTACTATTATAATATTAAAAATTCAATCTCATAGTTTGTGTTGTATCTTTAATTCTTATTCCACATAGGAGTCAGTGACTGATGAACTTCAGGTTGACAGTAGTTCATCAAATAGTGAACCAGTATCAGGTAAGACTGTCAGATGTGAATTCCCTTGGCTTTCTGTCTTTCTTCCAAATATAAGCATCCATCTGTATCTCTCATCTTCTCATCTCAGTGGAAGAGGTGTCTTTCCCCTTGTCCAAGGTGAATCCTTCTGACTCTCCTTGAGACATCATCCTCAAAGCCTTCAAACACATGCCAGTAAGTGTGAAATTACACTTGTGATGAGTGCTACAAAAGAGAGATTGATTTGAGTGTAATTAATTGAGGTTAGTTAGAGAGATTAGGGAAGGCTTCCATGAGAAAATGGCAATTGACTTGAGATCTGAAGGAGAGTAGAAGTTAACTAGTAAAGAGATGAGTAAAGAGAAATCCAGGCAGAGGGAACAGCATGTACAAAGACACAAAAATGGGACTGAGCACTTATGTGTTCAGTAACCTGAAAGAAAAGGCTAGTGTGACTGAATACAAGGAGTAGGAAGAAATGTGATTATAAGACAAGATTGGACAGACAGTTAGAGGCCTTGCATAGCCTTATAGTCTATGTCAAAGATATTGAAGTTATCTTCGGAGCATCAGGAAGCCATTGAAACCTTTTAAATGGGGAATTATATGATCGCTTTAGTTGCAGTTTGGCAAAAGGACCAGAAAGAAGCAGGAATGGATGCAAGGAGACCAGTTAGGAGGCTATTGAAGTAGTTTAGGGGAGAAATAATAGCACCTTGTGTTAGTGTGGTGATACTGGAAAGAAGTGGGCAGATCTGATGGCTAGTTTAGGGAGTGTAATTGACAAGATTGGGCAAGTAAAGAGTGAAGGAGATGGAGGTGTCAAAGATGACTCCTGTTTCTGGCTTGCATAACTGGATACAAAATTGTGCCATACACTGAAAAAAAATCTGATTTGAGGGAAAGACCATGAATTCAGTTTTTAATATATTAAGTACGAGTGCCTGTAAGATGATTAAGTAACAATGTCAAATAGGCAATTGATATGTAGGGCTGGAGATTGAAATTTGTGAGCCATCTACATACGAGAGATCTTCAAGAAGTTCATGGAAAGATTCATATTATCTTTTGATTCTTTTTGAAGTACTCTCATATTGGTATGATTGATTTTTGAAAACAAGAAAGCATGCTATCAGCACACCAGAAATGCAGAGGAATTCTTAAAAGCAGATGAGATTAAATTGATAAATATATCAAGAGCAAAGGAAAACCACTGCAGATGTAAGAGTAGCTCTAGGGATACTCCAAATTCTTAGTCATTAATGCAAAAAACTACAGTAGAATACCTGGTCTCTTTCTCCTCATCCCCTTCTTATATTGCAAACACTGGCAACTACCAGTGCCTGCTGCCAGGATAAAACTCTGAGAACTACTCCCAAGCAAAGTGAACTATTAGTGGTTGGCTTCTAAGGGTCATTGTTGGGACAGGATTGAGTGGCAGAGGAGAGTCTGAAGAAACTTCTAGTTGCCATAGAGATAGCAGAGGCAGAAAAAAGTAAAAGAAATAGGCAGTTCTTCTGCTTGTTAACTCCAGGAGAAAGATACAGTATGGCTCTCTGAAGCAGGAATTCTGATACAGGAGACTTCCAGTGTGGACACTGGCCAGACAGAACAGTGCCCCCATGTAACTTACAATACTCAGAAAATACGGGAGGATATCCCTACCTGGAACATAAGTTCCCAGAAAGTCTCATCACTCTTCCAAAATCTTCAGAGGCAGGCTACTGTTCTAGAATTTATACACTACCAGGCAAACGGAGATTCTTGACTACTGATACAAATGAGGCAACCAGGAACAGCCAAACCTTTGAAGAAAACCAGTGCCATGGAAAAGAGGCAACAAATGCAACAAATAGAAAAACTAATATCTGAAGAAATGGTAGAAAATGTTAAATATCTTTTTAGAGACAGGAGGCTACTGAATCCATAATATAACAGGTTGCTATAAAAAATAATTATAGTCCCTGGAAACTAAAAATATCAGTTAAAAACTCAATAAACAAGTTAAATATTGGAATGAATTCAGCTGAAAATCAAATTAGTGAGCTAGAAAATAGACTAGAGAAATATTTCCTAGAATATAGTGCAAAAGAACATAAGAGGTGCTCAAGAAATGCTTTTCCTTCCTTCCTCTCCCTTCTGTGCCTGGCTAACTTCTACTTGTTTTTCAAAAATAAATTCAGGAGCCATTTCTATTGAGGTCTCTCCTCTCTTTCTAGATGAGGAGGTTAGCCTGATAGGTCTGTGGCACTCTGTATAGTACTGTCATGGGACTCAAAACAGCAATGTAATTTGTCTGTCTTTTCCTCTTGGCTCTAAAGCCATTGAGAATTAGCACTTTTATCTTCCTCTCTCATGCTTGGGGCATAATACGGTTTCAAATGCTTGTTGAATGGGTCTTGTACTGTATTTAGAGAAAATAAACCATTTAACCATAATAAGCAGTATCTGCTAAAATTGTAGTTTGTTACTAGATTTATCAAGTTTTCATGTGAAAGATATAAGGAAATAGAAAATAGACTATCTCGGGCCGGCCCGTGGCTCACTCGGGAGAGTGTGGTGCTGATAACACCAAGGCTGTGGGTTCGGATCCTATATAGGGATGGCCGGTTTGCTCACTGGCTGAGCGTGGTGCTGACAACACCAAGTCGAGGGTTAAGATCCCTTTACCAATCATCTTTTTAAAAAAAAAAAAGAAAATAGAGTGTCTCCAACTTACAAACTGCTTGTATTCTAAGAGTTCATTTGCTAATTCATGTTTGAAACTTGGAAGACTTTTTCCCATAATAAAATATTGTTCTTATATTATTTTTTTATTAGCATATTCATTATTTCAAATCATACGTGTTCTTTAAGCCCCTTATCCAATCTCTCCCCTTCCCCATCCCCCCTCTAATAACCATAGATTTGTTCTCTCAATTTGATAGGTTAACTGTTCCTTTGGTAGTTTGTTGCCTACATGATCTGTCCAATATTGTGATCAAGTTCTCCCCTATTATCATAAAGCAGATGCTTCTTCCATTACTCTGGAGTATGCTTTATGGAGAGAGAGTGCCTGTTCTTTTCTTTTTTTTTTTTCTTTTTTTGGTCTCCGCTAGTACCTCTCTTTGTGTTAATGCAGTTGAGTCTGGTGTGCCATCTGCAGAGTGGCTGTGACTGCTGCTAAAGAGATGAGCTGCTTTTGCGGCAGGCATGGCAATTGCAGTGGCTATGATAGACTACCTATGTGAAAATGGTGTTTTTGGTGTGCTCTTTACCTGATCATGGCTGGCTTCAGCTTCCCCCAGCTCCAGTCCTCAGGACTCCAGCAGGGCACTGGGGTGGCGGTGGCAGCTTGCCTAGTTGTGGCTGGGTTTGGCTTCCCCCAAATCTATGCCTCAGGATCCTGTCTGGGCCCTGAAGTGGTAGCAGCAGCTTGCCTAGTTGCGGCTGGGTCTGACTTCCCCCAGATCCATGCCTCAGGACCCCGGTTAGGTCCCAGGGTGGTGATGGCAGCATGCTTAGTTGCAGCTGAGTTTGGTTTCTTAAAAGATTGTAAATGGTTAAGTTTTGAGCAGCCCACAGTTTTATATTTAACATATGATTAATTGTTTTAATTCTGCCTTGAAATCTAGTAACTTTGTAACATGTTGAAAAAATTAATTCAGGTTTTTATATTTAATGTGGAAGATTGAACATATACATTTACTTCTCCTTTGTGAAACCACACTAAAATATCAATAAAGTCATAAAAGGGTGTGAAGCTTCAAGGTGGAGAAAGAGAAGGGACCTCAGTTGGGAAGAGATAATCAATATAAGTTTGGAATCTGGAAGGTAGATGAATGAATTGTAATTGATTTAACAGACCTAAAAAAAAAAAAAAAAAAGCTGAAAGCTAGGTGCTTAGAGTAGGGACAGCCTAAAAAGCAAACTGGCTGAGGGTGTAGGTTTAGGAATTAGAGGCATCACATATTCCTGAAGGGATGGATATAGATAGTATTGAAAACAGAATTTTTAGAAATCTTTAAAGTAGCAGTTATATGCTTTGATCCCTTCCCCAAGACTATGTAGCCAGGCAACTACCCTTGTTCCCAGTCTGACAGTCAAGAGATATTGAAGTGGAGGGACTGGACTCAGGGGTGTTAGGTACTGCTCATTATAGGGATCCTATACTGAAGACTAGCAGTGGTGGAAGAGGGAAGGGAATTAAGTGACAGTCTGTATACTTAGTGGTGAAACCCTTGGACCTCTTATCTCACTCAGACAAATACACCCTGACTAGGAGACTTGAGGATACGTTTTTTGGAAACTTCTCTGCCCAAGAGAAGACCTATATTCTGGCAATAATGGCCTAGTCCCTTTCTAAATTCCCTTTAGTAGAGCTCAACTTTTCCTAAGTGCCATTTGTGATGCATTTTTAGTGCCTCATTCTTGAACCTTCAAGAATTATCAGACATTTGAAGAAAACATTTAAAATAAAAGATATACCAAATAAAAAGAAACTTGAAGTACATAGACAATGCAAAGAAAAGAAACCTTTTAAAAAGCCAGTTTCATTAATATCCTCAGGGTGATGAAAAATGTTGTGTACGTGAAACAAGTTCAGGCTAAATTTAAGGAAATATTCCAGAAAGGTGAACAAACATCAAAGAGAAGGTAAAAGATAAAAATAGTGGCAATGGTGGCACAATTCTGAGTATACAGAAAATCCCACTGAATTGTACAGTTTAAAAAGGTCAGTTTTAGGGCTGGCCAGTGAGCTTAGTTGGTCAGAACAAGGTGTTATAACACCAAGGTCAAGGGATTGGATTCCTATACTGACCAGCCACCAAAAAAAAAAAAAAAAAAAGGGGAGTTTTATGGAATGTGAATTTTATCTCAATAAAGCTGTCATTTTAAAAAGAAAAACAATTAGAAGAATTCTAACATTTGAAAAACAGTAGTTTCAGACATTAAAGAGTAAATAGAAAGGAAATTATTCAACACATAAGATTTTTAGAATTTTTTCTGGGATTAAAAATGGTCATGAGTACACGTATTGA